TGCTAACATTTATTGATTTTCAAAAAATGCTAGGAGATATTAATTGGCTTAGACCTTCCCTGAAACATACTACAAATGATTTGACTCTCTATTTTTCCATATTAAGAGGAGATAATGACCCCTCTTCTAGAAAGCTTATTCCTGAGGGTCAAACACCTTAAAATCAGTACATCTAATCATCACTCATGCACAGTTGACCAATATTGGCATAAAGCTTCTTCTGTCTCCTATACTGTTAGGTACTCCTATATATTATTCTGGAACACTCTTGTAACCTAGGGGACCTATAGATTGGATATTTCTGCCCACTGATGCTGGCTGCATCTTGACTTCTTATTATGAAATCCTTGCTCAGATTATCCAGAAAATAGATGTCCGCAAGCCCATCAATTTATTTCACGATAAACTGACATGATAGTTAACCCCTTTGCCTCTTCACAACATGATTGGTAGCTCTATTTGATCTTATGGGCCAGCTTTGTACTTCATATCCTGAAGATCCTTTAATTCAAATTTTCCAACACTACTGTCTAGTTATCCCAACACTTTGTATTATGTACACAATTCCAGAAATAGATATGTGTTCCTTGGTAAGAGCCTTTTGGGGTGCCTAAAGTTATACTTCAAGAAGTAACTCATCATACATTGATTGTTTCAACTAAGTCTTCCCAGAATGTAGGTTTCTTTTGCATTGCCTCAACCTGTAAACACTCTGACAGTTCATACGTCATGTAAGATGCTCAAATACTTGCTGGTGCTCTTATAAAACAGACCGAGGATGAAGAAATGCCAAACAATTGTTAGAACCAGGAGGCTTCTTAATTTCTCCAATACTTTCAAGCACACTACAGCCTTCCTGGTCATTTGGAAAAGGGGAATCAAGCTGTAGATCTAGCTGCTGCTTATTTTATTCAGATGGTTGCTGAGACTGCTTGGTTTAAGCAAGCTATTGACTCATGCAATTCACCATCAGCACTGTGCTATGCCTCAGCCCCATTTACAGTTATCTAGAGATCAATATGACAAATTGTAATCTCTCTGCTTGTGTAATGTATCTGCCTTCTTCTTGTTATGGTGTAAATCTCCAGTGCTTACTACCTTATGACAGATGGATGTTACAGGCATTTCAATTTTTTGGCAGCCTCAAATACATTTATGTTAGTATGACATTTATTCTGGGTTCCTCCTCATGTCTATTCTATTAACTGGAAAAACTGGTAAGCATTAGATTACTCAGTGCTGTAATCTTTTGTTTTTTGTTTTTTGTTTTTTTTTTTATAGCTGATGCTTCCAAAGCATTTTTAAAAAAATTTAGTGCTCCAGCATACACTTCTGATGCCTTTAAGGAATTTTGTTCTTCATTATGTATTATACGTAAAACTGGCCTCTCCTGTATTCCTCAAAGATGAGAAATTGCACATGGTTCTATTAAAATTTTTCTTGAAAAAATAAAAAGTGGGAGTACATATACCTTTTTACTTCTACAAATCTTAATTGTACTTTTTAATTCTTTTTGAGAACAGAACAAAAAGGATTAGCTAGAGCAGGGCATTTATGAGTAGACATGCTCAAGAAGGAGAACTTTTGGCAAAGTTCCTGATATATGG